GAATTGGAAACAGAAAGACCAGGTGGAACAGACATATATACTTCCTCATTCAAGTCACCACGCAAAAAAGCATTGTTCACATCCAGTTGCTCCAAGTACCAACCTTTAATGGCAGTAATAGATAGAAGAACATGAACTGTGGTGATCTTAGCAACTGGAGAAAATGTGTCAAAATAATCAACCCCTTCAAGTTGAGTATAGCCCTTTGTAACAAGTCGAGCTTTATACCTTTAAATGGAGCCATCAACCTTATATTTGATCTTGTACACCCATCTACATCCAATGGGAACCTTTCCATGAGGCAAGTCCATTACAGTCCAAGTGTGATTCTTATCAAGGGCCTGCAACTCAACATTCATGGCATCTTTCCAACAGTCATGCTTAATAGCTTGTGAGTATGTTTTAGGTTCAATGTTTGTGGAAATGGAGTAGGAAAGATTTTTATATGCAAGAGAACAATTACTATAAGATAAGACAGAAGAGAGAGGATACACAACATTGGGAGAATGAATAGAATTAGGAGTATGAGCAGAATAACAATGGTAATCCGCTAGGTAACTTGGTGGGTTTGAAGATCTAGTGGACTATCTTAAAGGAAATACAGAGGTAGATGTAGGCTGAGAGGAAGGGTCAACAAGGGCAGTAGGGGCCTGATGGGGATTAGGAGACATGGGAGCAGAACTGTCATTAAAAGGACCATTGGGAGATGAGCTAGGAGTAACTGACTCAACAGATGGACTGGAGGATAAAAATGTAGGAGATGTATCAAGGGGTGATAGATGTGTAGAGCTGCTGTTAGGTGATGTGTCTTTAGAAGAAGGAGGAGACAAGTCAGTGGTACTGGTGTGTTCAGTAAAAAAGTAGATGGTGAGGGCATGTCAAGAAAGTCTATGGATAATGGAGAATTATGAGAGGAAGGAGTAGATGGTACAGAAGGCAATTTAAGAGGGAATATATGTTCATAAAAATTGACATTCCTTGAAACAGATATAGCATGACTTTGGAGATTATAAACAATGTACCCTTTGGTACCATCTCTAAAGCCAAGAAAAATAGCCTTGTGAGCTCTAGGATCAAATTTTGTCCTATGTGCTTGTAAAGTGGAGGCAAAACATAAACAACCAAATACTTTTAAGTGAATAAGGGAGGGAGGTTGTTTGTACAAGAGCTCATAAGGTGATTTTGATTTTAAGAGAGGAGTGGACAGCCTGTTGATAAGATGAATGCCATGTTGCACACAAAAATTCCATAGAGTCAAAGGAACATTAAAATGGAAGTAGAGTGATCTAGCAACATTTAATATATGTTGGTGTTTTCTCTCAACCACCCCATTTTGTTGGGGTGTTTCAACACATGATTTTTGATGGATGATTCCTTTAGACAACAAAAAATCATTGAGAGCAAGAAATTATGTACCATATTATCAGACCTAAGGCACTTAAGGGAAGTTTTAAACTGATTTTCAATATAAGCTACAAACTGAATAAAACTAGCTTTAGTTTGGTCTTTAGTTTTGAGAAAAATGACCCAAGTATACCTAGTGAAATCATCAACTAAGGTCAAAAAATATTTATGCCCCAAGGTGGATATAATAGAGAAGGGCCCCCATATGTCAGCATGTAGAATATTAAAAGGAGCATAAGAATTAGAAGTACTATTGGGAAAAGGGAAGCTTTCTTTGCTTAGCAAAGTGACAAGAGTCACATGGATCAAGTTTAGTATTACAAGTAATAAAGGGAAACAACTTTGAAATTTCTTGTAAACCTAAATAAGGTACATGACCAAGTCTTAAATGTCAGGTATTACAAGAAGTAGTATTAACAGAAGGAATAAAGGAGTGGTGGCCTGTGGTCTCAAGAGTATAGAGTCCCCTTTGCACATTAGCTATACCAATCATTGCCTTGGAATGGTTCTGCATTATGTGACAGGCATTAGCATGGAATTGGACAAAACAATCGTTGCTATCAACAAGCTTAGCAATAGAGACAAGATTAACATGGAAACTTGGAATGTACAAGACATGGTGTAAAGTCAAGAAAGGAGAAATGACAACAGTGCCAGCTATTGAAGCAACTACTTGAGAACCATTAGGCAGATTAACAGGAATAGGAACTATATTTTTATGATCTTGAAATAAGGAGAGATCAAAGCTAATATGTTCAGTGGCTCCAGTATCAAGGATCCAAAGATTAGAAGTCTTACCATTGACATTGGAGTGAGAGTTTAAGGAAAAAAGAGAAGTGGATATGGAGTTGGCTTGGGAATTAAGTTGTGACTATTGCAACAATGCCAAGATGTTAGTGTACTGCTCTTGAGTAAGACCAAATGAGGGTGCAGTAGAGGAGCCTGTGGATTGATTCTCAGAGGCATTATTGGCCATAGCAGCTGGCTGAGAATTAGCAGTGGTACCTGTAACTTTACCTTTGCCTTTGTAACCGGGTGGGAATCCATGCTTGAGAAAACAAGTCTCAACAGTATGGTTGGTCCTACCACAATGTGTACATACCCTATCATGACCTTTAGGACCATAATAGCCGTGGGATTTCCCTTTGAAAGAATTGCTATAGCCAAATTTACCATTGGAATTCATCTGAGCTTGAACATACAAAGCGGTAACCTCTTCAGCAGTGCTAGCAGGAGAAACCAGATTGGAAACAGAACTATTCATTTCTCTTTCTTGTTGGATAACGAGAGAGAAAGCCTTATCAATGTTAGGAAGGGGATTCATCATCATAATATGAGATTTTGAATGCGTGAATTTGTCATTCAACCCCTTCAAGAAACGTAGCACATAGTATTGTTCCCTATATCGCTGAACAGACGCGATAGCATCACAGGAGCATGGGATAGCACAAGTACAAACAGGAATGGGACGATAATTCTCAAGTTCATCCCACAAGACTTTCATCTGAGTAAAGTAATTAGAGACATCGAGTGTACCTTGACGAAATTTGTACAATTCCTCTTGGATGTCTAAAATGCAAAAAATATCTCCATGAGAGAACCTAATTTGCAAGTTCCTCCAAACACGAGCTGCGTTATCGATCCATAGCACTGACTTCGCAATTGACTCAGAAATTGAACGTTGAATCCAAGCAAGAACCATAGTATTACACCGAATCCATGGTGCATAAAGGGGATCAGATACCAGTGGTTTAGGAAGGGTTTCGTTAATGAACTTGTCCTTGTTCTTGGATATCAATGCAATCTGCATCGAACGTGCCCAAATGTGGTAGTTGTTGACGTCAAGAGGAGGAGACACGAGGACAAGCGCTGGGTTTTTGTTTGGATGCAAATAATAGGGATTAGCTAAATTGGTGGAGAAATCTGCGTAACTCTGGTAAGCCATTAAAGCAGAAGAAAGAATACAAAGAATCGCGATCGAAGAGAAACAAGAAGATGAACAGAGGAATGTAGAAATCGAGATACACGAAGGAGAGAAATAATTGAGATAACCTTTAATCGATGCTGCAGGAGAAGAAGAGACAATGGCTACCAGAGCTTGATGAGCTCTGATACCATATCAACAATGGTGATGTATGCCACTGATGGAGATAAAAGTAACTGATCTTGTAACTGAAATGTAACAGAATGCAATAGAAAGTGCAGAGAAGAAAGATAGATGAAAAAGTACTGTTACATTCATTAGTTCTTGTGTCCATGAGGTGAATGCTGATATATATACAAGTCAAGATTAATTAACAGTCATTGGATCTTAACTGAACAAGTAATACATAGGCTAAGTACACTAAACTAGTATATAAGCTAATAATGATTGAGGAATGTATGTTAAGTTTTGATATATATTAATTTTTTTAAAATTAAAAAAATAGTTAATTTGATGAATTTTTTTGAATCGGACGGTTTTACAAAACCGGGTCAGGTTCTGTGGTTCAAATGGTTTTGAACAGTTCAATCTCATTTTTCAGGTTTAACTCTGATTTTGACCCACTAGCAGTTTTGAAAAGTTGACCCAACCGAATTCATCTCCTTTCTGATCCAATCGGTTGAACCTGCCGATTCGATCCAGTTTTTAAAACATTGAGTGAAACAATATATTACTTCGGTTGTAATAGTTGTTTATTACTATTATTTTTATAAATAGATATTGATTATTTATAAATATCTTAAAATAATAGATATATTTTAATTTTATATATATATATATATATATATATATATATATATATATATATATATATATATATATATATATATATATATATATATATATATATATATATATATATATATATATATATATATATATATAACAACAATAAAAGAAAACATTAAAATAGATAAATATTTGGCATTTATGTCTGGTGTAGACTATGAGTATATATAATCAGACTCTATTTGGCAATAATATATTTATAAATTAATAATTTATGATTTATATGTTTATATGATAATAAGAAACTCTTTGATAAAGGTATTTTATATGTGTCAAAAGTATTTTAATTTATATTTTAAATAATTAATTTACAATTTATATGTTTATATATCAATAAAAAAAACTCGTTTGATAAAGGTATTTTACATGTGGCAATAAAATTTCCATTTGAAAAAAACTGTTATAGATTTAAATATAACTAATTTTGGAAGCTGAATCAATTATATGTAGAAGAACTAAAATTTTCAAAATTATTTCAAAATCAATTTTATATCTTTTGAATTGTTTTTAACCCTAAATTAACCTAACTATACATTTAATTGATTTTTAATTTTGTTGGAGGAGTGAAACAAACATGTCTAAGATATATAAATCGATTTTATATAAATTACATTGAAAGGGTGTCTACATGTAAATATTGATTAAAATAATATCCCTTTGTCATCATGTCATAGTATAATTACTAATACATTGAATTAGCATTATTAATTGTAAAAAGATAGAGACTACACACGTGTGTGCACGCACTCACTATAAAACATTAGAAAAGTGCAAATATCCAGCAAATATCACGAGACACACTCACCTTCGAGAGTAGTAGCATATGGCTGGAGAGCAAGGTGATAGATGTTCATATTCCTCCATTGAAGCACCACTTTTGAATGATGAAAAAGTGAATGATTCAAATACTAAGGACCAACAACACCTCACGGTTCATCATGTGGCCAACGCTTCTTCATTCAAGACTTGCTTCCATCTACTCAATGCTATCTCAGGTTCAATTTTTACTCTCATCAATTATTTGTTTTTTTTAGATAAGTTATAACGAAAATTAATCCATGTAATCAATTCCAGTTAATACGATAAATCTTGGTTGTTATTGAAGAATGGTCTATTTACTAAAGTGTTTCAAACTTGAATTTATCTTGGTCAAAAGATTTTATCTTTTTTATTTTCTTCAACTTTATAATTATTGTTTAACATATTTAAATATTAGAGATTCAACGTTTGTTGTTTCTATAGATAGAAAATATGCTTTTCAAAAGAGAGTATGAAAGTGAATAATAAATGTGAATGGAAAGTGAAAAACAAAAAAATAATTTATTATTCAATGTATTTAGTTTATATTTGAAAAATACATTTAAAAACATAAAAGTATTTAAAATTAACAACTTTTATTAATAATTTTGTAATCAATTCTTAAATAAATTTAAATTTTGATATTTAAATAAAATTAATATTTTACACATATGGTTCTCAATGTCCATGACTACTAATGAATTGTACCTTTAATAAAAGAATATATGCATGTGTGTTTCATTGAAAAATGGGTCATGTTTTTTTTTGAAAAATGGGTCTTTTGTTTATACATTACTTTATGGCTATTTAATTATTATAGATTTATTTCGAAAAAATCTTCTATACTTAATATTATTAAATATGTCATTTAAAAACAAAGAATAAAATATATGTTAATATCCACTATAGTTTAGAAACCCAACCAATAAAGTAATATTGATTAAATGTATATTTTATGAACAGTTTAAAGTCTAATTATTTTAAATTTTTATCCTCTAGAAATTATCTGAATATTTTATTCTATTAGATTCCTACTTTGGTTTTCATTTTTGTCTACACTCATTTGCAACTTTATGCGACTAATATTCCACTGTCTCCAAATGATAACCACAGATAATGAGATATTGCTTTCATGGCTGTACAGATAATGATATGATGTTATTTTGTTATTTTGTTTCTGCAACTACCATCACTGCAATCATAATATTTACAACAATATGATATTATTTTGTTATTTTGTTATGACTCCAATCACAATATTTACACTATCGCAATTTTAAACTATGATATAAAAATTAAAATTACTATTAACATTTTTCTTACATTTTATTGAGATATTTATATTCTGATATTTTTTTCAGGAGTTGGCATTGTTTCGATACCGTATGCCCTAGCATCAGGAGGATGGTTAAGCATATTTCTTCTCTTCACAATAGCCCTAGCATGTTGTTACACTGGCACATTGGTTAAAAAATGCATGGACAAGGATCCTAATATCAGGACCTTTCCAGACATAGGTGAACACGCATTTGGATCGAAAGGAAGGTTCATCGTATCGATAATCATGAACTCCGAACTGTACTTAGCAGTAACAGGTTTTCTGATTTTAGAAGGAGACAATCTAAACAAACTGATACCGAATGTGGAAATTCATATAGGAGAGTTAAGTATTGGTGGGACAACAATGTTTACTATGGTTACTTGTCTGGTTATTTTGCCTACTGTTTTGTTTGAGGATATGAGTTTGTTGTCTTATGTTTCTGCTGGTGGTGCTTTGGCTTCTTCGATTTTCATTGTTTCGTTGTTGTGGAATGGTGCAATTGATGGAACTGGTTTTCATGGAAAAGGAAGGGTTTTTAATTGGAGTGGAGTTCCTTCTGCTGTTAGTTTGTATGCTTTTTGTTATAGTGCTCATCCTGTTCTTCCTACTCTCTACAATTCTATGAAGAACAAAAGTCATTTCTCTGGGGTAAGTATTAAGCTGTTTTAGTAGTTTTAATATGATTTATGAAACTTTGAAAGTACTTATAGAAATCATGACTTTCACTAAAGTTCTATGATTGCAGTTGTTGTGATGCATACTGCGACCGTTGCAGTGTGAATTTTGATTGAGTTGTAAGCACACTAAACATTTATCTAAACCCTTCTATTTCTGCAGGTCCTAATTGTAAGCTTTTCAGCATGCACATTTGGTTACGCCGCCGCCGCAGTTCTAGGCTACTTAATGTTCGGACAAGAAGTCGAATCACAAGTAACTCTAAACCTCCAAACAGGAAAGTTAAGTTCAAGAGTAGCAATATACACAACCTTAGTAAATCCAATAGCAAAATATGCATTAATGCTTACACCAGTAATTAATGCAATAAAAATGAAGGTTTCTTGCAACAAAAGGGTCACACATATGATTATTAGTACATCTTTACTAGTAAGTTCTCTTATTATAGCAGTCACAATTCCTTTATTTGGATACCTTATGTCACTTGTTGGAGCATTGTTAAGTGTTTCAGCTTCAATTTTAGTGCCATCTATTTGTTACTTGAAGATTTCTGGAGATTACAAGAGATTTGGAAGTGGAATGGTTATTAATTATTCTATCATTGTAATGGGAGTTGCTATTGCTGTTTTTGGTACTTATAGATCACTTAAAGATATAATTCAAAACATATAAGTTGTATAAGTTTCATTGGATAGCAGTGTTTTTGGTTTGGTTTGTAGTAAATTACTTTATTTGTTTCTTGTATAAACAAGTACTTTTGTTGTCTATATCTAAGACAGCTTGCATTAACATTTTTTGAGGTAAATGTTTGTTAGAGATCTTGTTGTGATGAATTAACATGTTTTGAGTATTCCAATGCTATGTTCTAAATTGTCTTTATCTGCTACAAATTTGAAAGTGAAAAGTTGCCATAGTAATGAAATTTTGCTGTCTTACAAAAGGGTACTTGCACCAAATGTGTGAAAATTAGTGGTTTGAGAATAGAGGCAATTTTTGTGTGGACAATTTGTGGTGTGTGTTTGGTTCCTAGGTGCAAAAGTTGATTTTGTCAAAGTTAATGTTTGTTAAAAGTTTATTTAAATTGATATATGTTGTTTGAATAATGTGTAAGAATATTGATTTGGACATGGTTGGGAACAAGTTTGTTGGAGAGGTCAGTGGAATTCCATGAGCAACATCAAGTCAATATTTTAAGACTGTAAGAGAGGGAGACCCTTTATCTCTATCCAAAATTTTAAGACTTACTGTTGTGGTGAGAATCGTGATACCAAACTATTGATTAACTTGAATATTTAATTCTTTTGCAACCGAACTTTGATTTGTCTAAAGGAAGGGGAAAAGATCGAAATACCCACAATGCAATGCACATGCAAAGGTTAGAGAGTTATAGGTTCGAGGGTTAGTTAAATTTAGGGAAGGTGCTAGCATCCTAAATTTCTGTAGTACTCTACAGGAACCTCTTGTTTTATGTTTGTTTATTGCTAAGGGTTATCTGCTTAATGGATAAGAGACCTAATGGTTTATATCTAGGTATACTCGATAAAATATCGCATCTTTGACTGTGGTTAAAGTTCCTACGGGATAAAGGTAGTTGATTGATTGATTTTAGGAGAAAAGATGAGTTGTCATTTTAAGGGAGATTACTTGATTTAACCACCACAACTTTGTAGGAAAATAGTCTTTGCATCGTCTTAAGAGAAGGGCTCAAGTACTCGGATTGTCAACAAGTACGCCTCTATCTATCCTAAGGCAAAGTCCCTACATATTGATTGAATTGTTATGGGGTGGGAGTTTTATCTCGCTTAAGATGATTAACATCTTATTCTCTAATGTGTTTGAATAGTTTGCATTGATTTGTTTTTGAATGTGTTTGTCTAAGTTGTAAAGATAAAAGGTCCTCCTTATGGGGTAGGATCTAAACTTAGATGATCGACTTGAATGGGGTCAAGGATCAATGGGGAGTATGATGCAAATGAGATGCATACGCGCAAGTTTTACGTTACGCACAAGTTCTTCCTTTGGACGCGATGCAATGCGATAAAATAAATTGCAGGAAGGTAAAGACAGATAAATAAAAGCATACATAAACGCATGAAAGCGCTAAAGTGTACAAGTGAGTGCAAGTGAATAATGTGAATGGAATCGGAGCGTAAGTGTGCACGATTGATTGAACGCGATGTTGATTAATTTTAGGCGGATTGATTAAATCTTAAGGTGAAATTGATTTGAGAAAAGTTATATTTTGGGCGAAATTGGTTTTAAGAAAAATGTTGAATTAGAGAGTGAATTAATTTTAGTGAAAAAAGGTTGAATTGATTTTAGGTGATGTTAAATTCTGAGAGGTTCGATTTTAAGAAAATGTTAATTTAATTTTACTAGCAAAAGATTTTAGATGTGAATTAATTTTAAATAACTAAAGGTTTATTAAAAAGGGTTTTATTAACTAAGAAAATGGTTTGTTATTATAAAATAGATTTCTATTAAAATAGTTAAATAACTTTATTTATTTATAAATTGCTAAGTTATAGATTACTTGAATTTAATTTGGAGATAAATAAAAACTCTTATTAGATAAAAGTTTTGTTTTATTATATAAAAGTTATTTTAAATGTGAAAAGTGGGTTTTAAACAAATTATTAATAAAAATGGGGATAATTAAAAAGGTTATTAATAAATAGCTGATTTTAAATATGGGTTATTAGTTTATATTTTTATAAGAGATGGTTAAGGTTGATAATTAATTAATTAGATTGATTAGGTGACTAATGATTAGATTAGGGATTAATTAAGGGTTAAGTTGGGCGAGTGATTAGGTGCGGCGCAGACGTATGGGTTACGGTGGGGGTGCAATATTTGGATCGTGTGATGATGATCTGATGAGGATCGTGTGACCGTGATGTGCAGGTACATGGTACTACCATGTGCGCGCGTGCATGGAATTACAACATATACAAAAAAACATATCGAAATCCCTAGAACCCCAATTATCCCCCTTTTCGCCGATTTCCTCCCCTTCTGCAATCTCTCCTCTGATTCTGCTTTTTGCTCCATGATGAACAATGAAGATGGCTCGCCGGTGACTTGGTAGTTTCACAAGGACACCAACGACGCGCGATGGTGACGGAGAGCAAATGATAAGTCTCTTTTAGCTCTTTCTCCTTTCAATCGCGCCTCCCTTCTCCTTTCTCCTTTATCTTTTCCCGCTTCTGATTTCCTACAAAACAAACAAAACAAACAAAACAAATAGATTGTCAGTGTTAGTTAAACGAAAACTCATCTGCTTGATGGTCTTTGCAGGTCCAATGGCGGTGGCGGATGGGTTTCGACGGTGGATGGTTGAGGTTTCCGACGACGGGCTTGCGAAGGTGTTTGGTGGTAGAACGACGTGGACGGAAAGAGGATTCATGGTGATGGTTTGGTGGTACGGAGGTTTTTTTCGGTGACGGCGGCGGTGATTTCGAACGAACACAGAGATAGGTTCTCTTCTTTTTTGATTTAGGTTTTCTGCTGAATTTGGGATTTTTTGGATTCGTGGATTTGTCGAATTTTGGGTTTTTTGCGATGTGTGTTGTGGATTTCTGCCCGTCCCTCTCTTCATCTCAATTCTTTCTTTTATAGGCCTTTGTACATTGATTCTGAAATCCAGTTTTGGAAACCGGTTAATGGTGTTCGAAACATGTTTTCTCGGTTTTGGAAAGAAAGTTAATTCGTTGTCTCTGATACTTTCTATTTCGGGTTAATTCCTTGAATGCTTTGATTGATTTTTTTACTCTATGATTACCAGGACATGTTGGATTACATCACACCGTAAAACTGCGCTTCAGATGGTTAGTTTCCTTGATGCACCAAAGCTACAAAGGTAAAAGGTGGTAGTTGCGAAGAAGTTGGTTCGAACAAAGCCACCCCTCCTGGCAGCGATTCACGGAGAACATATTAACTGGAACTGTAAGCTTTATTCCCTTCTTACTCTGACTGTAGGCTCATAAGTCAAATGGAACTCAAATTACTTAACTCTGTCGACTTTCCCAATTGTAGGTTGCTGAAGAGCTTGAAGCTGCCCTTATGCGGTTATCTTTTAATCCTCAAAGCAAATATTCAGATTAAATCCTTCTATAGGTCATGCTTCAATGGTTGTTTTTTATGCTGATTGTTTTGGAAGTAACCGTGAGTTCACATCGCCTTGTCTGTTCTGGTTCTTTTTGCAGGTACACGATGCTTGGACGAGTTCGCTAGAAAGGGAGCCTGGTTTGAGTCAACATGAGGTCGTGGCTGCGGGGCACAACTTCTTTTGAGTTTCGGTTTTAACTTCGACTTCGTCTTAGCTCTTGTGTAACAATTCAAATAACTGATTCTTTACTTTCTCTCACAGATTTAGTAGGCTGTCGCGACCGGAGGAGCTCTAAGAGTCTTTTACTTATGGTTCTAAAGAGCTCTAATTTTAGCAAGCGTCGGAGTGTTGGGAACGTGACTTTGGGCTTCATACATTTGATTTTGTGGAGAAATTCGAAGCTGCCAATCGGGACCTTGGGTGAATGGAGACGTGCCAGAAGTTGCAGCTTGTCCGACTCTGGTGTGGGCAGTACGGTTTTGATACTTCAAGCCAACACGCTATGTACACCACGTAGGCATTACGGAGGCAAATGACGGAAGCGGCAAACGAAGTGCGTCACAACCACACACTGAGGGATCTGATTCTACTGGTGGCAGAGATTCAAACATGCTGCCGTCTTCTAGTCTACGAGGCTGCATATTTGTGTTGTGAGCTTCTCTTGGCAGTGGTAAAGTTACTAAATGAATTGTGCACCTTCTACATTTCTAACAGTTTTAATTCCCTTATTAATTAAGATTACTCAAAACCACATCATGCAATAGTGAAGCCTGTAAGTCACGAGATGGCTCCGGGAAAAGGTCTGACTTTCATTATATTGCAAATCTAGTCCTGACTTTTGTTTTGAGGAAAGTGTTGCTGTTTAATATTTCCTGCTCTATGTTTTATAGGTGCAATGGAAGCTCCCGTCACTTGACTTTCTAGCGTTGTCTTGCTATCAAGTAGAAAAACAAAAATGGAGCAGAAGATGTTTGAAAATAATGCATTATTGCCAAGGAAACTTCATCACCGTCCGAGCTTATACTGAGGTTTACGTTGGAGCGAGCGACAAACTCTTTTATTGCTGAATTTGGGTCCAGAACCTCCGCCTAGGAAAAAATGCCAAGTCATCTGATCCGGTTACAGATGTCGAAGAGATTGCGTCAACCTTCGTATGTTATTTGGCTGCCTCAAGTGCTATCATATATACCAGTATGTGAAAAGTAGTGGTTGCTATGAATCTGCAGCTAGTTCCAGAAGTGACTCATGACTTATGCAAAAACTGTAATAGTTAGACCTGAACTTATCTTGGGGCACTTGCCAGTTCGAAATTATGGGCACGCTAGTGATCTTCCCAGGCCATATTTTCTTTGTTTGCAGACAAATATTTTAAATATTGTATTATTGATGACTTATATTAGACTTTGTAATAAAAAAAGAGAAGTTCACGGACAACAGCTCATACAGCCAAACGTTTTCTCCTTATTGATCTTAATATATTGTCTTGAATGATTGTAACGGTGAATGGCGTCTGAGACTTGGTATTAAAAAAAGGTGTCGCCTGATAGTGTACATCCATAATAGA